GCCTACTTTATTTTTATTATTGACGGCTGTTAATATTTTATTTAATAGAGTATATGAAGCAGTTTCGGTGGAAAGGTTAGGACGAAATCCAAATTGTTCACTAGCCAAGATATCATTAGCATAGGTATGTGTTAACAATCTTCTAAAGATAATTTTTTCACACACCTTGGAAAATGATGTCAACAAGGAGATTGGTCTATAATTAAAACAATCTTCTCTATTTCCCTTCTTATATAGAGGGCTAACAATCGAATATTTCATGCATAAGGGAAATTTACCAGCTGATACTGCCTTATTTAATATACAACATAACGGGGAAGAAATGTATGGGGCACTTATTTTTAGTATCTTCAATGAAATCTCATCGTATCCAGAAGAGTTTTTGGAAGGTAAAAAAGAGAACCTTTTCAATTTCCTTCGTTGTTATGTTATTGAAGATGATTTTAGGAAAAGGGCCCTTAGCAGCCAGGTTCAAATAATGTTTGTATTTGTTATTCGAATCAGTATCAGAGGTAAATTGGCTAGAAATTTTTTGAATAATATTATCAGCAACGTTTAAAAAATAATTATTAAAATTACTTGAGTTGATTTGGACTGTATTGCAGATTTTACCCTTTGAACAATCTTTACCCAGTTCTGCCCTTATAATGTTCCAAGTGGTTTTGGCAACATTATTAGAGTTGGTAATTTTGTCCTCATTGCTAAGTCTTTTTGCCTCATTTATTACCTTAGTTAAAATCTTGCAGTATGATTTATAATACTGCTTTAGATTTTCATTGTCATGAAATTTTGCCAAAAGATATAATTCTCTTTTCCTTCTGCAGGAAGTTTTTATTCCAGTGGTTAACCATTGTTTGGAGGAAAAATGTTCGTAAATTTTCTTTTTGGGAAAACAAGCATTAAATATCTGCAAATATACATCTACAAAATTATTAAATACACTATCTATATTATTGTCCTCAGCATTAAATACGGTTTCCCAAGTCTCAAAACTTAAACTTAGTTGAAATCATCTAGGGAACAGTTGTTAAATGTCCGGATAATTTTGAAATTAAGGTTTGTCCTTTCCCTACCGATCTCTTAGCATGAAGACAAAAGTTGATTAGTATGAGGAAGGTGATATATATTTACACATGTCAATGCCCTAATTTATGTCTCTGCAATAATGGTAACATAATAGGTGAAAACATATATACTGCAAAAGCAGTGGGTTTATAATAATGTTTACAAGAGTCTATCACTGGATCGTGTCCTAAACTGGGTCAATCCAGTCCATATCTTCAAATGCTGTTTCTTTAACATCCATTTTAATATTGTCGTCACATCTATACTTAGGTATTCCAAGGGGACTCTTCCATCAGGTTTCTAACTCAGATTTTGTACACACCATCTAACCCTTGCTTGCTACAATCATCAACAATTCAACCTTCTTGAAGTAATCGCCATTATAATGTGTATTTGCCTGATGAGTACACATACAGCTTTCTCCAGATTCCTGTTACCGCCTTTCTTAAGGTTCAAAAATTCTCTATAGCATTATTTTCTCAAGAATTTTCAATCTATGTTCCTCTCCAAGAGCAATAAACCCACACAAAACAACAGGTAAAACTGAAGTATGTATGTATTTTAATATTTACATTGTTACATAGGCGACAAGAACAACAGATGCTGAACTGAATGGTAGCAATCGTTCCAAAAAATTAATTTTCTGTTAATATTGTCTTGATACAACTAAATTCCAATATTTTAAATCGTTTAAAAAAATATAAAGAATTAACATGGAAAAGAATAATCAGAATGTCCAGTCTGTGAATTCACTGTATAAAGAGCCAAGTAAATACAGGTAGATGAGTCGAACACAACCTATTCAATACCATTTCATTCAAAAACATAATTTCATAAACTGCACTGTCTACATGTTGGACTTTTCAGCACAATGAACATTACATGCAGAATTTGTAGACAATGTGATCACTCAATACACCAAATTACACACAGTCAGCAAAATTGGTTATTACTTATAACAAACTGCAAATATTTTGCATAGGCACTAATTACTAATTTAAATTTTACTCAAAACTAACCAATAAAAGTTGCATCATTTTAAGGAATACATTATCAAAAATTTTCAGAAACCTATGTTGAACAGTGCTTTCCTCTCCCCCTGCCAAAAAAACTGTTCGGCCGCCATAATGTAATTGCATAAAGCAGGGATTTAAAACATTAGGTATCTGGGTAACTTTCAAATGCATAACATTTCATAAAAATTAATTTCTCATGACAGATCTATGCAGACAAGATCACTACATCACTACATTTGCTGTGTATGGAAATAATTCAACATAACACGTTTGTTTGGAGGGGGGCTGGGAAAAAATTATGTCTTCCCTTAGCATCCTTTCATTTAACAGGGGTCAATGGATGAAAAGTCTTCAAAGGATAACAAAGTTTATGTTCAACAATCAACACATATTAAATTATTTTGCCTTGCTACTTGCCCCCCTAGCCAAATTGAAACAATTACAACCAGGAGCATTAGAACTGAATCAAACATTCACAACCTCAAATCCATCACTGTGGTTGAGGAACATGCGCACCTTCCCTATGTCAGGGCGAGATATATATTCTACAGAATATAAATACTAGGCAACTATTTTCATACTCCTTTTGTAGAGTACAAATTAAAGGAATGTTGTCATCAATGTTCATGCAACCTTTAATACATACATTTATATATAAACATCTTTAAAAACTGATGAGTTTTAAATTAGTATAAGTTATTTAGCTTTTCTATGAAAAAGTATATATACAATATATGTAAGCTGATCTGTTTTGACAGAGGAAAGAATTTACAATCAGACACTTCCAGTTTTCAAGTCTATGACTTTAAACTTACTAATATGACATCCTTGATAACAAGCTATGTATATCACTCTCATAGTGGCTGTATTTCATTTACATCAAGTTGCAACTTTCAGGCACTCTTTGCTGCTCATCAGCATACAGCACACAGTGTCATGCTCTTCAATACAAAAAGTCTAGGGCTAAATAATAACTATACACTTTGAATTTCTTGTCCAAGCATCCTGTTTGAACCATTCTCCTGTTTTTATGTTACAATAATTCTAACAAAAATCTGTACATATCTTTTAAAGCACTTGCATTTTAGCAACAAACTTTACAGCTTGGTCCCAACATCTCTTTATACAAAGTTTTAAAAACCTTTTAGTATTCTCACTCGGCCAACTTGATAAAATGTGATTCATTTCAGAAAAATCCATCAGGTTCTGAAACTTCACATTGTCAATCACAACAAGAGACCAAACATATTACTGGATATTCAGTTGAACCTATACTCCTGTTTCCCAACAGTGCCTCTTGTTTGGTTTACATTCTATTAACTAGGTTTTATAAATGCACAGTAGCATTCAATGAACTCCTTCACACTTATAATTCATGTTATGCAATGCTGTTTAACCCTCTAACCACATAACTAAAAAAATCCTGAAGTTAAATATGCAAAATTAGCTCTACTGTCTGTCTGTTGACCTGTCCCAGAAAAATGTGACCTATGTACATCTTGCTGTTGTATTAAATACATGTTCTCACTGAGATAATTAGAGCACGGTAACAATGTGGCCCTAAGAGATATGGAAAATTCATTTCATGTACACAATTTGAATTAAAAACACACACATTTATTCATACTCATTACACATATAAAAACACCTTTCCCTCTTCTCTGGGTATTATAAAACATAGTTTTTCTATCTTTCTAGGGGTCTCAATAAGAACCTTCCTCTTAAATTCTTTGAATATTTTTTTCCTGAAATGTTCTAGGGTTGTATAAAATTTGTGGAATTACTCATTTTGCCATTATTTTGTAATTTATTTTTGGTTGAAAACT